TAGCTTTCCCCCTCTAGCCCTGTGTTTCTCACCTTTGCAATTTTAAGATGTGTGGACTTAAACCCCCAGAATCCCCCAGCCAGAATGGGTACTGGGGAATTCTGGGAGTTGAAGTCCACACATCTTAAAATTGCCAAAGTTGAGAAACACTGGTCTAGAGAGGGAAAGCTATAAGGAGGGCCACCCTTTTTCAGCCATAGGCCCTTCCCCAGTCCCCAGCGAGGTGACAACACTTTGTTGACCTTGGCTGCTCTTGACAAGCAAAGCAGGGTTGGACTTGCTTAATACTTGGATGGGAATTCAACCCATTGAATACTTGGATGGGAATTCAACCCATTGAAAAACATTCTAGCAGAAGGCAAGGTCTTCTGTTTTGCCCGGAAAAACATTTGGATGTGTCCATGGTACCGCCAGGAGGGAGTTTGCTCTTTCCTGGTTAACACTTCAGGGCTCTTTCAACTCGGTGTCTCGGTGAGCCAGTCCTGAGTAACAGTGGCTTCTCCTTTCGGCAGGCAAGACAAGTTGAAGATCCACATGCGGAAGCACACGGGGGAGAGGCCGTACCTCTGCATCCACTGCAGCGCCAGGTTCGTCCACAACTACGACCTGAAGAACCACATGCGGATCCACACGGGCATCCGCCCTTACCAGTGCAAGTTCTGCTACAAGAGCTTCACCCGTTCCGACCACCTGCACCGCCACATCAAGCGCCAGAGCTGCCGGATCTCCCGGCCCAGGAGGGGACGCAAGTCGACCCCCTGGAGAACGGCCAGCTTGCTCTTCGCCCCGGCCGGGCAGCCAGATGACAAAAGCTTCCTTGTGCCCCCGGCTCTCGAAGAGATGAGTGGCCACCTGGGCGGCCCTGCCCTGTGCCTTCCGGGCCCAAGCCCCAAGCATTTCATGGAAGGGGCCAAGAACGGGTTGAATCTGCAAGAGCTGGAGAGCCAGTTGGAGGAAACCCAGATGAAGCTGTTTGGGAGGACGCACCTGGACCTGGAGCGGAACAGCGGCCTGTTTGCCTTCGCGCTGAGTCACGGCGAGGGCCTCTCGGCACGGCCGTATTTTTCCCTCCCGGACCCCTGGAGCTCCGGGTTCAGTGGACTGGCAGCGCTCAACCCTCTGGCCTCCCTCTCTGAAGCTAGCAACTGAGTTGCCTTCTCTCCATGGATGGGTTGGGTACGTACAGTGCCAGCTTTACTCAAGCTGACTCTGTTAGGAAACTGGGAAAGGCGGCCCCTTCGGATGACAGGAGGGGTCTGCTGTAGACTCACAGAATGTCAGGGTTAGAAGCAGTCTGAGATCATCTAGTCTGGTGTTTCTCAACCTTAGCAACTTGAAGGTGTGTGGCCTTCAACTCCTAGAATCCCCCAGCTGGCTGGGGAATTCTAGGAGTT